GAACTTTTCATTACCTGATGGGACACACTTGTAGTGTTGTAAAAATGCAAGTGTTTACATAGCTTTATTTTAATTTTAATTTTAAATACTTTGCATTTTAAAATCAACTTCTAAATGTCTGTTCAGTAGTCCCTATAACATGACATAATTTTAATTTGTGGTGCTTCTAATTAAGTGATAAAAAGCAGTTGCAAATGTTGTACAAAATAAATATCACCACTACTCATCTTTGCACCAATAAAACATAAAAACAGTGTTTTTCTACCAAATTATATGTAATATCTAATTATTATATTAATATTTAACTTGTATTGGAAAGGTTTCCGTGACCTCTCGCGAGATCTCGGCAAAAAGTCTCACGATTTATTTCCAGAACATGATGCATGATGGGATACACTAAGCCTCGAATAGCGCTCCGGAGCGGTATTCCAGATAGTGTGGGTTTAGTGTGCTTTAAGGGCACTGCGCTTTGATGTTTTTAAGACCTGGGACAGTCTTGCGCACTTACTTCCTGTCGCGCGCACGCGCTCTCAAGTGGCCAAGACCGCAAGTGTGGGTATTTGGACAAGGGGACAGTATGTTAAGGGGCCATTTCCGTCACACGCTTGAGGTATTCAGCCAATCACAACGCACTGGATAGCTGGCCAATCAGAGCACACCTCGCTTTTCAGACCGATGAGCTTTGTAAAAATCTACGCGTTTCAGAAAAGCGGGGCATAGAGGAGAAACAATAATGTACATTATATGGAAAATGTGTTTTTTTAACCTTAAACCGCATAAACACATTGCATTACACCAAATACACAACATAATGTTCTTTTTAGCAACGTCATATGACCCCTTTAAACAAGGATTAGATCCCTCAGTAAACTGTAAAAACAATCATCATGCTGTTGGCGCCCTCTGCAGGCATTTGTTATAATGCGTAATGTACGTTAGCTCTATTGTTTATAATACAGTATGTATTTTAACTGTTTTGTTCAATAAAACCATATGATTACTTGCTTTTGATACATTATTTGAACTAATTATTATTGACTCATTACTATATATGTATTTTAAGTAATTTTAAAAGCTATTGCTAGCTTAGGTCTATTTTTATTACCACAAAAAATAATTAATTAATTAATAATTATCTGATTAATCGTCAAAATAATCAACAGATTACTTGATTACTAAAATAATCGTTAGTGACAGCCCTAGAGCAGATAAAATATAATTTATCATCTTGACTCATCCTTTCATATATAAAAATTATTTAAAGGCTGAAATGTGAGATTTTATTGCTTCTATTGTACTCATTTGTAAGTAGTTTTGGATAAAAGCATCTGCTAAACAACTACATGTAAATTTCCCCCCCAAATTTTTTTGGTCAAAACTTTATTTCAACAGTACAACAGTACGTCAGTAGATAACATGTTATGAATATTTATGCAAACAAAAAGTGCATAGTGCTGCTACTTTTTGTTGGTTTTCGGTATAAAACTTGATTTCAGTGTGTGTCCAGCACATTTTAACATGTTATACCATGTATAACAGTTTGGACTGATACATTATTTAAGAGATTTATGTATTAGATAACATGGGTAGCTCTAGTCTGCTTTCATTTTTAAAAAGTAGCTCTCGAATGAAAAAAGGTTGGAGATCTCTGCACTATAGGATGTTAGACCCTTATGCCACCCTCATGGAATCTGTTTCTAACAGTTTGGTCAGAAACATGCATACTAGTAGCCTGCTCAAAGTCATTTTGGAGGGCTCTGGCAATGTTCCTCCTTGCACAAAGGAGCGGATTCGGGTCCTGCTGTTGGGTTGTTGCCCTTCTACCTCCCTGTTCAGCTCTCCTCGTTTAACAGCTCGTCTTCTGGTATCTCCCCATGCTCTTGAAACTGTGCTTTGAGACACACCAAACTTCCTTGCGATGACGTATGTGGATGGCCCATCCTGGATAGATTTGAGAGAAAGAAGCTCAACTTGATATCATAAGTACATACATATGTAAGTTGGTGTAGCCTACTTTTCTCGCACCATGACTTGCACAACTCATTTTGAATCCTTGTGTTTCTCCAGTCAGGTAAGAGGGAGACTGAAGGAAGAGGTGGAAGGCATGAGAATGACTCATCCCAATTTCAAACCAGGCCTTGTAGTGTTACAGGTTAGTGGTAACCTGTCTATGAATGACAGTTAATCATTTCTGAAGTACTGATGAACATGATGGTAATTGTTCTATTTTACACTTAAGCAATTTTGCACTTGAGTAATAAAGGATTCATTGCTGTATGCAAATGGGACAGTTAATTTTATTTGTATTGCCTTAACAATAAAAATAACCTCCCTGCAATGTTTTGGGGACATTATTTTATGGTTCTAAAATATAAAACCTAAAAAGAACATTCCTGGAATGTTTTTATTTGGTTCTCAAAAAAAGTCAAAATAATAAATGAAATAACCAAACAGGAACCAAATACTTACGATAGCGGAATGTACTGTGTTTGCTAGGTCGGTCTCCTTGATGTCGTCTCCATCAACTCCTCCATTGTTGATGGCTATTGTCATTTCATGACAAATCAGGGCTCAACGCTAAGGATTTTTTCTACTGGCCCGGTTAGGCCAGTGGTTCAAATTTTTACTTGCCCTGCCACAAAAAATAAAATGGTTGCTGTTATCATTGTTTTTGACCCGTTATCTTGTATTCTAATAAATAAAGCTTATATGACACCAAAATTTTAGATACCACTTAAATTTTACAATTCTTAGTTCCATATGAACAAGTGAACAGTCAGTAAATAAGAACAAATTATAAGCAATAGCACATAATAAATGAATAAAACAAAGATACAAATTAAATTATGCTTAGGTTATGCAAGGCTTAGGCTTTTAGGTTTGTAGTTCTACAAAAGTATAAGAATAATCAAATGTAAAATATGTAAATGTAAAATAACATTGCATATTCTTTTATATATGAATTAAATATAGATTAATCATTGTTAAAGCAGCAAAAGTTATTCGGTCAAGAACAAGAAATGATTCTTTTTTTTTTTTGCATGTCCGTTTTATTTCTCAGCTCTTTAAGTTCACTTAAATTCACTGTTTTCTAGGGATGTGCAACGGTGATCGAGTACTCAGTCATGACAGTGACGATCGATCATGAAAACGATGAACGTGCTTTTAAAAAAAAATTCTCATTGGTTATAGCAGCACTTTGAGCTCTGATTGTTTAGCTTGCCACAGCATGTGGTTCAAAGTATATGTGAGAAGAGAGAGAAGCAAGTCACGTAGTGATGTCTGATATTGACCTTTTGAGTTATTTGACATGGTCATATTGCTTTTAGATGTTTCTTTTTTTTTAAATACTGATGTTATAATGATGCAGCAGTGCTTTGTTCATCATATTTGTTCAACAGTAGGCATACTTCAATTAAAACTGTTTTATCGTAATTCATATGGCTTCGAAAACGTGCAGGTGATTTCAGGGATTACTTGATAATGTGGATGAAAATATAGCACAAATCTGCCATAAACATAGCATTATAATGAGAACTTTATAGAATGTGCAATCTACAGTAAATTCTGTCTGCTTTCCTTGCCCGTGTTTCAGCACGCAGTTAAGAATGTGCATCACGGCGGGAGCTCTCTCTCTCTCGCTATAGTAGCCAGCTTCACTGGCATTTGCATCCTTTTGTGCAGATACAGGTTGTAATGTTACGTCTATGTTATGTATCTAAGTTATTTGATTAATATAGGATGTGTCATAGAATCGGCTTCAGTTTATTGGCATAAAGTTACTCTTCAGCTTCACCTCAGGCAGATATTCCTTTTTAGATGCTTATTTTTTAATAACATTGCTGCATCATCATAATCACAGTGTTCTAATCATGTTCATATTTTCATAGACGAGTTTTAATGTCATATTTTGAATTTTAACATTCATTTTCATAATAGTCATCATATATTTTTATTATCCCCCCCCAATGCCCATCCCTACTGTTTTCCAGTATACCTGCCAAGTCGAGTATTTTGACTTTTGCATGTATTTGTCCATTGAAGCACAAGGAAACACAAAAAGAAATTCAATTCAAGGGTTGTGCATTGCCTGATACGGCTCTATGTGTGCTCGCACAGAATACACTAAATGTAGTTGTTGTTTGCGTCTTGCTCTTGAAAGCTTTAATGTAAAATTTAATGTTCACATTGGCCAGGAGTGCCCATTCGGGGCTTGCACGTTGTCAGAGACACGCAGCTGTCTGTGTGCGCAATGTACACACAGAATACAGCACGCAAATACTGAATTGAGTTCTTTCATGTCTTCTTGTGCTCGAATGCTTTAAAATCGATTAGACATGTGCCGGCATTCGGTAATGGGATATATCACGATAATGAACATGCATGATATTGTTATCGTGGGCACTTCAAAATAACGTGAATTTATTACAAATTATTCAGATTTTTTTGAATGCATTTTAAGAATATTTTTCCCATCAACTGGTCACAATGCACAACACCGTTGTATACTGCGTCAAAGACGCATGCGCACTCTCATGTAAACAACAAACGACTGATTCATTCAGAAACAAAGCATTTGACTGTGTTAATGAGTGAATCACTGAATCCTTTATTCAACCGATTCGTTCAAAAAGCTGACTCAATCAATTAAGTAAACACCGTCCATTGCTCAGAGATGCAAAACAGTGCTGTGATCTTTGTTTGGAACTATTTTCGTTGGCA